TATAAAATTTGGATTCAATCAAAAGGCCATACTCAAGGATCCAGAAGGCCACATGTGGCTCCAAGGCTGCACGTTCCCCACTCCTGCTAGACACATTTGAGAATCGAGTCCCTAAAAGTCCCTATAGATTCCTTATGGGGACTTTTATGAGAGGAGTTTAGAAAAATGGATATTTTTTACTTAGCTTTTTCCCTCCGATTCACTCACCCACTCAACACTGATTTACCAAGCAGCTACTATGTACCAGGTCCTGGAATGGAGAAAAACATACAAGGTCCCTGTGATGGTGATGATTGCTGACTTCACTCTTCACAAGGGTTTGTATCAATGTTTCCTAGACATTTGGAAATAGAGCTATAGCTCTAGTCCAAACCTCTACCAAGCTATGGTTACTGAGACCTTATATGTTGAATTCCTACAGAATGCTCAGCATAGTTAGAGACACCTTAGATTCACATTATATGGGGAGACACATTGCAGTTTTTCAAGATCAAGCACTCACTGGAGTTTGGCTACATGAACTCCAACCTTGGTTGTGCTACACCCATTTGAGTGGCCTTGGGAAAGACATTCACCTTTCTGACCTTTCTCAGAAAATTGGCTCTAAGGTCTCTTTCAGCATTTATAATTTGTGATTCTCTAAATAGGTTTTTTAATTCCCAAGAAGTTAGAATAGGTACTGGGTAAATAAAATGGCTTAGAAACCTCATCTCGGAGATTCTATTAGAGGCAAGAAGCAATTTTAAGTTACCTTTCTTTTAGTATGTAAATTAAGGTTTAGAAAAAGGTGAAGCTTTTTAATTTGATGGGGTTAAAATTTATATCCTATTTAAGAGAAGTATGAGGAGCTTTTTGGTAATGAGAAAAGCCACAAGTATGAATGGTACTCCAGAAATGTGATCCATAAGAATCGAAAAGAGATTTCTTTCAGTGAAAGAAGGAAGGAGGTGGCAGAGAGGGACTATGCCTGCCTCTGCAAATCCTGAAAAGGTTGTGCTGAAGGACAGAAGGACCAGTTTTTGTTTTCCAGGAAGCGTAATGGAAATGAGCCCAGAATAAATAAGGATCCTGAGGGTGAATCATCAGGTGTGTTTTCATATTTTACATAATCAGCTACAGTTGTTGCTTTTGCTCTTATCCTGCCTTGAGGAGTTAGAATTCATTATTACTATTTTAGTTGATTACTCTGTGATCAGTTTTGGGGAACTTTTTTTGTTTTATTCACTTCTGTTTGATCCAATACAATTTCAATGGCTTTGTGAATTTGAGTACACGGGGCCTCCAGATTATAGACATTCTTACCTTGTGTGACTCCCTTTAACCTGCTTCCTGCAAATCTATTTGCTTGAGGAAAGACCGTAAAGAACTCTTCCCTCAAACAGCAAACACAATTCCTTAAGCAATAGTGGAATCTCTGATTAGTCTCTGTTGGTGCTGAAATGTGTTAACTCTCTCTCACTCCCCAGTCCTTATCTCTCCAGCAAGGGGAAGTCTAGCAGAGCTATAATTTAGTACCAGGGGGGTGTAAACTGCTCTTAATGACTGCCAGGTCATTGCAAGATCTTTTTCATTATCCTTAGCATTTTGTGAGCAGCTCACAAGTTGTGAGCAGATCCTTTTTAAAAAATGTATATTCCTAGATGCTTTAGGTATTCGGAGATCCTTTTTACACAAAGCTAAAGAGAAAGATTCTCTAAATTCCGAAGGGCATTCATTCTCCCCTTAATCTCCTCCTCTCCTCTCCATTAGAGTTTTTTCACTCAATAGTTAGAATAGTGCACCTCTCACGAGATTGTACTCAAATCTCAAGATCTGTACCTTCTTCAAATTATGCACACTTATGTTTATGGGAGACTGGTTGAAGAGAACGAAGTTGAAGCAGAAAGACCTGGTTCTCAGAGGATTACTTGGAGGACCAGAGGTTGGGAAATATGGTTGTGTCAATCACTCTGTAAGTTTCCATACCAACTCAAGTAAGCTTGGTAAGAAGGAGTAAACTGCTGTGTCTAACTTCCAATTTGCAAATAAGCACTCAACATATACCCTTCCGGAGACTTAGGGTTGGTTTTGTGGATGTGACCCCCTCGTTAGTTAAGAATATGTTTTGAGGTTTTTATACTCATAATACAGCTTTTAAAATTATAACTGGCAAATTCCTGTGGGTTTTAATGTGGGGCAAACCTGAAATCATTTTGGTCTTTACAGCTGAGCTGTTCTGTTCTGTTGGAGAAAGAGGATTAAGGAGAAGGGCACGGTAGAGATGGATCTTAACTTATTAGTAGAAATACTCTCATTGATTAGAAAACAGAAGCAAACAAAAAACCCAAGAGCAGACATGGACTTTTGCTCTTTCCCATTCCTTTGTATCACACATAAATGAGGGTAGCGAGAAGCTGTGTTTCGTGACAGAGATCCTAATCTTTCTCTTCTAGTGCACTTTTGTGATTCCATCAGCTTCCTCTCAATTTTCTATTCATCCATCCTCCTCTCCTTGATTTTTATTTCACAAATGGAAATAAAAGGGCATATACTTTCTGATTGTGGAAAGGCTATCATTTTGTAATGTTGACAATAGTAGAAAATCTAAAGTGCGTGTTTTCCTAGGTATGGCAGGCCTTCGAATCAGGAGAGCACCTTCCTTGTGTCTCTAGTGAAAGAGGCAGCCTCTCATCTTATCTTTTTTGGGAGACATTAAGGAGTTCTTCAAAGCCTGTAGCAATGGTGTTGGATAGGTATGGCCATGAACCTGATCCGAGGGCAGCTATATAACTGCAAAAAGAGGAGACTCATCCTGGGTATGCACATCCTAGCAGAAGGGGAGACACTGGGATAACCGCATGACACCTCAACACTGGTTTTCCTAAATTCTTAAGAAATGTGGTGTTATCTTGCCTGATATGTACCCTCTGGAGAAAGAATCGCTTTGCCTCTGGGGGAGTTAGGTCATGAGCAATCTCAGATGATCTCACTCAGTTATTTAGGGGGTTGAACTTGATGGCACATAGGGAAGGCAGTTACTGTTAAATGGTTCATAGCTGGTCCAGTGGGTTAATTGCCAGAAAAAGCAGAAGTAAACCCCTGGAGAACACTTTTCATCCCCAAATTTAGGAATAACAGAGAACTCTTTTAAACTGGGAGCATTTTTTCTCCTGAAAAGATAACTTCCCTAAAGGGGATCTGGTGAATAAAGCAATGTATTTTCATCCTTGTGATAATGGGCGTGAGTCAGGAACTACTGTAAAAGAAAAATGAACTTGGTACCACACACTTGGTTTGGCCTTGTCCCATATCTGTGCTCTTGTCATGGCTGATTACCCGCTCACATCACATAGGAAACAATCAGTCTGCACTGTGGCATTTTAAATATGCTCAGGTCACATATTATCTTGGCCAATAGTAACTTAATACCATTTGCTTAAAGGAAACCACACTCCTTGCAATAATTTTTTCCAATGAAAAAAAATTTAACATGACAGAAAACTTTACATATAACTCTTGTATTTGAATAATAATAGCATTGAATCTCCTCCATCGCAAATAGAACTTTGAAATATTTTTATTTCTTTTGATATGCAAAAGATGAGGAGAAATGGTTTAGAAGACCTAAGTTAAATTTCTAATGATTGTCATTTCTTTAATAGAGGAGAATTTTTTATAGCTTCGATGAGTTTTTCCTTTTAACATGAAACAATATTAAAATACTAAAAAAAGTAAGAAAGAAAGAAAGAAAAAGTGAAACATTTTTCCTCTTACTTTGAGAACCTTAGGGGCTAAGGCAATGGTTTGGTTAACTGATTGGCAGCTTTGGTTTGCCTTTTCTAAATGGTCTTGTGCAATTCCCCAGACGAAACATTTGAAGAGGGTTTTTCTCCCACATGAGAGAGTTTCATTCCACACAGCCCACAGACTGCCATGGCAAACTTCATCGACTAAGTGTCTGGTTTTAGAGAAGTATCTGTGGAGTATGTTTTTCCTTTCACAGGTGCACAGCACTCATTGTACCTCAGGAATAAGGAGATATACATATGTGTATACATATATATATATATATATATGTATATTTTAAAGGGGGTAGTTTAAACACTGGCTATCTCTGTGAGAATTGGGTGCCAATCATATAGGTTTTAATCTCCTAAATGAGGGAAAAGAGGGTGGCAAGCAGGATTGAAACTTCCAAAGCCCTTCTAGCTGATCTTCCTTTATAACCAGCTGGTGTACACAGAAGTAGTGTATAATCTGGACTGTATTTTTCTCTTACTGTGAAACATATTGAAACACTTTATGTTTAGGTGTGCATATAGAAATTCATGAAGTTCTTTCATACACTTTCTTAGTTCCCAAAAAATTCTCATTTTAGGGTGTCATGAAAAGATAGCCTTGTGAGAACACATTCTGCCCTAGCTTGTAAATTTGGATCTGTTCTTTCCTATCTCCCAGCCACCTGATTACTGTCCCTGTGCAAAGGGCACCCGTTCACATCATTTTTTCCAAGCGCTTAAACCTGGAAAGATATTTTTTAAAGGACTCACAGAAACTGTCTGGGGGGTTTGGAAAACATCACAAAATTGTTAGCAGACCTTTTGACTGTGCTATTTTTAGGAAGGTAATTGTGTTCTTTTAAAGTACGTTTTTGACAATGGGACAAAGTTTTCCTTGCCCCCACTGATATGTGAAATATTTGCAATGAAAAACGTCAGTTAAACGCCCCAAACAGATACATTTTAACCTCAGCAACAGTCAGCAAACCGATGAGGGAAAAAGTGATTTCAAAAGAGAAAAGGTTTTCTCAAGATTTATGCTGCTGTTTCTGCCCCAAAGGAGCTTTTATTTTGCCGTTCAAACAGAAGTTTGTTTTCCAACCAGTTGCTAGTTAAATGAGCAGCTGATCGGGCATCCATAGGAACCAGTTCTAACCAAACAGTAAGCGCGCTGACCGGACATAACTTACTGCCCCACAGCTACCCCTAGCTGGTCAGCTGCCTGCAGAGGTGTTATCTTACCTTGAGCACGTAAGATGAGGGAGAGAGGCTCGCGGGCTCCCACGGAGAGGACCGGGGAAGTGCTCTGATCCGCGGCTGGTAACATGCACTTGGCTTTTATGGGCAGGTGGGAGGAGCTGCTCCTCATAGTAGGTGGGCAGGGAAGGGGCGGCGGGCGGCAGCCTCGGGAGGAGCTGGACACTTCTCTGGGGAGGGGCGGGGAGGGCAGAGACGGGAGCCCGCAGGAGGGAGGAGAGACAGGGAAGGGGAGGGGGTAACAGCGGAGGAAGGAGTGGAAACGGGAGAGGGAGGGAGAAAGAGAGAAAAAAGAGAGAAGAAGAGAAATGGAGAAAGAGACGTAGACGGCAGATGGGGAAAGGTTGGGGGGGATGAATAAGAGAGAGAGAGGGGGGCGCAAGATATTGGAGGAAAGGAGAGTTGGATTGTTTTCTGGTTTTGCATGACTTGTGTTTTTTTGGGAGGGGTGAGAGTTATGGGCGACTTATTAAAGGTGTTTCCTGTGAATCTGAAAAGCTAAATAACGGTTCAGGAGAAGGGAAGGGCTCATAAGCCAGGCAGAGCAGAGGAAGCTGGGCGTCCGGCGACCGAGTGGCAAAGCCAAAGTGCTGGGCGGACCGGGACCTGGAGCCGGAGGGGACAGACGCAGCAGCCCGGGTCCCACAGCCTGCTGGTAAACCCAGCCCCGTCCCTCATCACCCCAGGCAAGGCTTATTTGACAAGAAAGTTCTCCCTGTGCTGCCGGTAGTGTGCAGCATCCAGAGGCCTCTCTGGAGACTTCTGCTGCATTAAGGTAAATCCAGCAAAGTTTGGGGAGGATCAGCGGAGATTGGCTTGCGGAGAAAGGAACCTCAGAACCGGCCTCGGTCGTCCAACATCTGCTTATGTAACATAGGATCTCAGGGCTCTCTGCCCTCTGGATGTTTTCGGTATTTAAAACACTCTCATTCCTAACATTTGGAAAATGTCTTGGTGCCACAGCTCTCAGTGTGTCTTAAATATTAAGAGAGGATTCAACCAACAAGCGCGGCTAAAGGATCAGTCCGAAATTATTAAGAAATGCATTCAGAGAAAGAAAAACAAGCTCCTTTCGCTGCTGAGTGGTGACTCACTTCCCGGCCCAAGATTGATTTTTGCCACCAAAGGAATGAAAGCATTTTAAAAGAGAGAACCTGAGACTAGAGTGTGGGGCATGAAGTACTGAGAGCTGGGAGCGTGGGGAGGGGGATGGATGGGTAGGCTGGAAAGAATAAAGGGACTTTTACTGAATATTTGTGTGTATATATATACTTGATTCAGTGTTCACCACACCGTTATGAGGTAGGTATGATCCATATTGTGCAGACTTTTTTTAAAAGGAATCTCAATGGGGTTAAGCAACTAGCTCAAGCTGTCAAGAGGGGAACCCACAGCTAGTGTGCTTGCAAACTTCCTGTGCTCTTCAGCACACCAGACTGCCTTGTAGAACACCTAGCTGGGTCTCAGGTTAGATCCCAATTTCTTTGGGCCATACCAAGCTCCAAGAGAAGAAAAAATCGTGGTTAACAGAAAAGTTTCTCAAATTTGATACTTACTGACATTTCAGGGAGGATAATTCTTCACTGTGGGGACCTCTCCTGTGCATTGTAGAATGTTGAGTAGCATCCTTGGCCTCTACCTACCAGAAGCTAGTAGAACTACCCACTCTCACCACTTACTCCAGCTGTGAAAATAAAAAGAAAATGTCTCTAGACTTAGCCAAATGCCCCTGAGGGGCAAAATCCCCTCCTCTCCTTAAGAACTATTGGTCTAGAAAAGGTCCACAACTATAAAAAAGGACTTTAAAAGAACCTATTAAGAAAATACCCAATAATGCCATTTGGATAATAATAATACCTCCATATGTGTTAAGTTTACACTGGACTTCTAGTTTTTTACATACATATTCCTATCTGTTTGCCTCAAGAGCCCAAATCCTCAATTGCTTCCTTTGTAGCTAAGCTCATTCTTAATTGGATATATCTGGGAGTCAACAGAGTCACCCACCATGTGCCTGGGATATGAAGAAAGATTAATGATATATGAAATAAAAAATTAAGATGTTTATCATAAACACGAATCTGACATTTGAACAGTTATTCAAATTTACTCATGATGTTTTGTGACATTGATTATTTGTCTTAATATTAATAATTTTTATCTATATTCCTTATTCAAATTATGTTCAGTAACTTTTTGGTTGCAAGGATTTATAACTAGTTGTTTACTAGCTAGCAGAAAATAAGCATTCAGCAAATATATGTAGTCTGACTAATTGAATAAATGACACTATTGAATGGTATTTGTTCGTTTAATGAATGAAAAAATGAATTTGTGAAGGCTTAGGAAGCTAAAACTTTCACATCAACTATTCTGCCCATTTACTATTTTGTTTTACTCTCTCTTTACCTCGATAACTCAGATTTCCTCTTCCCAAATAGTATGTCTATTGAGGATATGGCCAAATCCATTAAGTGAAGCCTATGAAATGAATAACCCTTGAGACCAGACCTAGAAAGAGGATTGCTTTATCTATTCTGGGACCTAACCCTGAAATCAGATGCAAATTTACAGGCAGGATAACACTTTGGAACTTTTTAATTTAGCAAAAGAAATGCATCTGGGCAAATAAAATGGGACCCCACAAAAGGGAAACTGAAAAGTCGAGAAAAGCACATTTGAAAAGAAGGCAATTAATAGCTGTGGGCTGTATTTTCTTCTCCCTTTTTCCGCCTTCACTCCCTTCTTTCTAACCTGAATATCCAGCCAACATAACAAAAGTGCTGTTTCATTTTGTTTGGATGGTGCTAATGATTAGTTCTTTTCTCCAGTTCACACTTGCCTGAATCTGATTCACTACCAGATCTGGACAACAAGTCAGGAATACAGGAATGTGATCTCTTTGCTGACTCTTAGCATACCCTTCCTAGAATCTCTCTGAAGGTGACTGAGGTTTGAAATGACCTAGTTTGGTCTTCTGTGGAAAGAAAGGATTCCAATGACAACATACTAGATGCTCTGAAGTTTCCATTGTGTGGCTATAATAACAGTTACAGATTGTTACCTTACTTTCAAGAGCTTTGCATATGTAAACCTTATTTTGGGCTTATTTAGAATTAATCAATTAACAAATATTTATTAAGAATGAATACCAGATGGTGTGGGGGTATTCAAAGCGGAGGAAAGTAATGTAGATATATTCTCATGGAGAAACAAAGCATGAAATCCTGTTAGTTGAATGGTAAAGAGACTTCAGCAAGGAGCCATGGAAAGTAGCATTTGGATAGCTGGTTGATGATAGACAGTAGTGCAATTCAAACAAGGGAGGGAATGTGTGCATCTGGGGAAGATATAGGAATGTTCAGTAGGTGGTGAATTGGCCAGCATGACTGAAGAGAAGGGTTCATGTAGCAGAACAATGACGTAGAGGAATAGTTAAGGAGAGGTGATGTCAGCCTGTGGAAGGCTTTAAATGTCACTTCGGTAGTCTGAACTATATTCCATAGACAGTAAGGAGTCATTGAAGACTTTTGAGCAGTAGGATGATATGATAGAAGTGGCATATTTTTAAGATTTCACTTGTCTTTGAATATAGTGTCTTTATTGTAGCTTTGGAGATAAATACTTGCATCTTAATGGTATGTCCCGGGCCATTAGCATACTTAGAGAAAGCTAAATGTCTGTGTCCTGAAGACTTGGAGGCTTGAGCAAGGTGTCAGGAACAGTGGTGGTTCTAGCCCAGTTTCCCCACAGTGCCCTGTGTGGTTGTGAGAAGGAGATAGATAGGAAGGCAGGACTCTCTGCTGTGTGTGTCAGAGGTGCTCAGGCTCTGGTTCACCTGTTGTAACTTTAAGGTTAATATGGATAATATGCTTGATGAATAAGATCCTTGAGTTTCCAAGGGTTCTTAGATTGGAAAACAATGGGACCTGGATTTAAAAGCTGTGTATTCACATCGACATTCTCAAACAGCTAACTCACAATTATTTGTATATGTCGCCATTGCCAAATTTCAAATCTGATTACTTTTTTTAAATTTAAATTTTTAATTATTAAGGGTACATAATAGTTGTGTATATTTATAAGGTAGATGCAATGTTTTGATACAGGCACACAATGTAAGTTAATCAAATCAGGATAATTGGGGTATCCATCACCTTAGGCATTTACCATTTCTTTGTGTTAGGAAACTTTCAGTTCTATTCTTTTAGTTATTTTCAAGTATATCCTAATTTATTGTTGCTTATAGTCACTTTGTTGTGTTATTAAATATTGTTCCTTCCAGCTAACTATCTAACTAACTATATTTTTGCACCCATTAATCATCCTCACTTTATCCCTCTGCTCCCTGATACCCTTCCCAGACTCTGGTAACCATTATTCTACTCTCTGTTTCCCTGAGATCAATTGTTTTTAATATTTAGCTTTGATGTATGAATGAGAACATGCAAGATTTGTTTTTCTGTGCTTGATTTAATGTTCTTCAGTTCCATCTATGTTATTGCAAATGGCAGGGTTTCCTTTTTATGGCCATATAATATTCCATCGTGTATATGTACCACAATTTTTTTTTTGTACCACAATTGCTTTATCCATTCATCCATTGATGAGCATGTAGGTTGATTCCAAATCTTGGCTATTGTGAATAGTGCTGCAATAAACATGGGTGTGCAGATATCTTTTCAATACACTGATTTCCCTTCTTTTGGATATATACCTAGCAATGGGATTGTTGGGTCATACTGTAGTTCTATTTTCAGTTTTTTGAGGAAGCTCCATACTGTTCTCCATAGTAGTTGCACTAATTTACATTCCCACCAATAGTGTATGAGGGTTTCCCTTTCTCACATCCTCACCAGCATTCATTATTGCCTGTCTTTTTGATAAAAGCCATTTTAACTGGGTGAGATGGAGTTTTGATTTGCATTTCTCTGATGACTAGTGATGTCGAGCATTTTTTCGTGTATCTGTTGGCCATTTATATGTCTTCTTTTGAGAAATGTCTATTCAGATAGATCTTTTGATCATTTTTTAGTCAAATTATTTGACTTTTT